TTTGTAAGTAGAATAATGGATTGTCTACTATCCATTTACGCTTGTTATTCTATTGAAATAAGTATTAATTCTGGTTTAAATTGTTCACCAGAAGGAGCCGTGGTTAATTAATATGTTATGTTGGAAAATGGAAATCATTAACTTTGATCTGGAATTCTCTTTCACTGAAGAAAATTAATGTGTCAAGGTTGAGGTTTACCAAAATTTTCACCTTAAACTATTAGCATTAGGATGTTAGCACTACTTGTGGGAGTAATTGTTACTCTTTCCAGATTTGGTAGTCTTTGGTTATTCGTAGTTCCTAATAAGTTTTTTACCACTGAAGGGCCTGACTAGTGATTTTAAAATTAGCCAATTTAATTTTCACGTGCAAGTTTCACAAAAAATATTGTCATCATGAATTCAAAATGACTGCAGACCCCCAAATTTCTGTTCTGAACTGACCGTGTCACTTGCTCACTATTGGGCAGGCCTTGGCCTAAATGGTATATTTTGTGACCAACCTACCTTAATGTATTAATATATGGGGGAAAAAATTCAACAGATTCTTAAAGGAGAGAGAACTACCCTTACGTTGTGGTTCAGCCGTGATGCATGTCATGATGAGGATGCAAAACTTCTAATGTCCCTCTCTCATTGTTCACTAAGCAGCCCCATTGGCTCAATCAGTTCGTGTTTTCCTACCCTGGCATCAAGTAATATGTACTGGTTTCCTCCTGAAGAAGCATCAAGGTTCCAGTCGGGTTTTGATACATGCACCGCAAGATTAAATGTTCTCGGATTTGACATTTTTTCATCATTTGAAGAACAAGAAGAAGACTGTTCTTCGTCAAGAAAAGATTCCTGTTACAGTATGTTGGAATCATTGAAAATGCCGTTGTATTTGACGTGTGGAGATAAGTCAACTGCATGGGAGTTTGTCAACATATTACATGCCCTCCAGGTATCTTTTCCAGCTAAATCATTTGAAGTTTCAAATGTGAGTAAGTATGATGAGATATTTACATGTGTCTAAATGGCTTTCCTCTTGCTGCATAGATTAAAATGGCGAAGCCATTCAGATTATCTTAATGGCTTTCCTCGTACCCTTGTTCTTTTCGTTGGCATGTGTCAAAATAATTGAAGTTTATCTGTATTATATTTTGAAACAGGTGGTGCAGTTTTACGATTGGAAGGGGGCTGAGTTTCAACTGGAGGCAGGGGAGCCGAATGGGTCGTCTTCGTTTCCTAATGTAGTATCACGACCTTTATCTGAAATAGAGCGGCTGAAAATGAAGCGCGCAAAATCTGTGCTTATCAAGGATGCTCAACTCTCCCATATGCTTTTTGTTGGGAACAACGAGAGCCTGCAGGTGAAGAAGTCATTTGATAGGTTTGTATTTTCAGCTCTAGTTTGTGAATGGGAATCATATACCATTAGGTTGCGAGAAGAACTGGCAAGAAGCTTACCTTATTGGGCAACATATGGATCTATCATTTTTGTTAACAATTGTGTGTGAGGCTTTTGTTAAATCAATATATGTGGTGCAAGCACATTGATTACATAATGTTGTTGAATTATTGTATCCAATCTTCATCTTAGAAAGTCTTTCTCCTTGTTATTTTGTTTTAAAATGTTGGGCTGAGCCCACAAGTCCCAGACAGTAAGAGATTTTTTCTTATTTAAATTTCAAATAATTTTTAATACACTGAAATTTTAAAATTAGTACATATGGCATGTGATGTAGGGGACAAATATGTTAAATGAGATATTTTCATAGGGCCTGTCCATTTAGGCTCCAAAAATAGTAAGTTGGATCATTCGTTTATTTTAGTTTATTTTAGCAAGAATTTTAACAGTTTTGCTATGGAGCCAACAGTTGGCTCCATAGTGGAGCCAACCTTCTATATACAACAAGTAAATTTATCATATTATTTGATTACTTAAATAACACTAATATAATTTTATTAATATAGTATGATTTATTTGTTGTATATAGAATGTTGGCTCTACTATAGAGCCAACTGTTAGCTTCATATCAAAATCGAGAACACTTTGAATCTATGCATGTTAGGGTTATCCTGTAAGTTAATCAATATATGATCTCACTAACCCATTTATGTAAAATAAAATTTATTTTAGTATATATATTCATTTATTGACATAAGAAAAAACTAACAGTTTTATTTATTCTTGTTCATCAAATAATATTCAATTATTTTTTTTTTTCTAAAATTTATTGTAATACAATGTTATCATTATTATATATAAAAGTTATAGAAGTAGTTTTCTTATTCCATTTTATGTAATTAAAAATATTTAATGTAAATTAATATTTTTTATTAATGATTAATGTAATTAATTTAAAATTATGTAAATAAATTTAAAATAAAATAATGTGTATCAATATTCTACAAAACACACACACACACACACACATACACACACACACATATATATATATATATATATATATATATATATATAAAGGTTTGATATTTACCTGAATTAGAAGTTGAATTCCTGTCTAAACAATTCATTTTTTAATTATTATTTTCAAACATTTTAGAGATCTGGCGGTCAGATTTTGAAATTCAAATTACAAAAGACAATTAAATCTTTGTTCAAAATTGAATTGGTCAAATATTACGGCTCACTCTTTAATTGTGTGCAATATTGCTATTACAAACCAAAAGTAAATAACTAAAGTAACTAGTACAACGCCCGTGTATTACACGAGTGCTTGCTAATTTTTTCTAAAAATCTAAAATTAATGAGAAAAAATAGTTGAAATTTTAAATACCTTTTATAAAAATATATATATGTTATTATATACTAGTAGGGTGCCCGTGCGATGCACTGGAACACTTCCTTATATACAAAATTATTGATTTGATTCTTTGGCACGTAAAGTACTACATAGATGTTTGAATTTTATCTATTGCATATTATTAGTTATTAATTAACAATTTTTTTTTAAAAAAAATTAACGGATCTTATTTATTAAACAAAATTATAGTAGAAAAAAAAAGTACAAAGTTTTAGGATTTTCACCCATTATTTATTTTAAATCTAATTCTAAATTTTATTTAAGAAAAATTGAAAGAATCATTAGTTACTCCTGAAAATAAAACTGATTTTTCTACCAATAAACCGATTTTTTTTAACAAACAAATTGTTCCGAATATTTTTTTAAAACCAAATAAAAAAATCATCAATTTTTCCTAAAAATGCAACCGAATTTTCCTAACATTGCATCGATTTTTTTACCAAACAAATTGAATTGAAAATAATCCTAATATTGAAATAATTTGTTAAATGTTTGTGTAACTGTCTCTTTCCTAAGGAAAATGATGTGAACTTAACAAAAAAAATGATATGAATTTACCAAAACCTCGGTAAAACATGGTTAAGAAAAAACATAAGAATCCAAAAAAATCGGTGCATTAAAATTTTGTAA